TCAGCAGATATTTCCTTTGCAACATCTCAACCAACAATTGGTCCAGTTATCAACGTTATTTTCAAGTTTTGAACAACTTGACTTTCAAGATCTACATATCTACATGTGCTGATGTTTGCGTTTATCAATGTTATATTTTAAGATCTATGCAAGAACTCTGCTAACAGATGTTTCCGCATATAAAAGCTATCATAAAGAATAGTATTTTTAAACATCATATAAAAATCATCTTGCAGGTGATCCAGTCATTCTAGAAAGAAAAAAGGGTAATTTAGGCTTATTTCGATTTTTTTTGGGTGGCTACGAGGTCGGTCAAATTGACTGATCCCATTTTGAGATAGGGTAGAAAAAATAACACAAACTATAAAGTTTTACTGAGAAAAAAAACCGTTTGAAATGCATTTAGGAGGTTTGGGGGATTATGCAAAGGAAATCTGAGTGATTTGAGATGAGGAAAAGTATTTTTAATTTTAAAGTGAAAATTACTTTGCACACGGACTATTCGAAACAAATTCTCAATATATTAATTGGACAAATCCTTATTTTATTAAAAATACTTCATTAAAAAGTATGATTTTTCATATGTGAAAGACTTATAATATGAACTAAAAGGCAGCCAAATTTTGTGAAGATATACACACTATATTGAAAGTTACAAGTATTAAATCTATAAATACTTTAATCCAGTATAAAGAGGTTACGTGGTCGTTCAAATTGACCAGGCCCATGTTGAGAGAGTTAATATACCTCTTTTTCTTGTTGATGACGTTTTTTCTCAATTCTTGAAGAGACACGTCGGGGAGCCATTTCAAGCAAGCGTTTCCTCAGTGTTTTTTCCTAAGAATAAAATAAGGTAGTTGGCCAAACCTTAGAGTATCTCAGACAATAATAAACTTCCTATATAAAAAAAATACTTTCTTCATATGACCGATTAAATTTAAAGTATTCAACAGAAGTGATTAATTCTGTATTTAATAAAAATAACTAATTGTACATTATCAATTTCATATTTTTATACATTTGTCTTGATACAATGCACAGTGACTATTTAAACACAGATTCTCATGGAGATATTTTTTTCATAGCTAGATGATTAATCTGTAACCAGACTAGTATTTCTGCAGTCATCTTCAAATTATCAATTATTTGTAAGGTACAAGGTTTAATGTTGTCATTAAAGGCTTACCAAAACACAATCTAATTCAATCAAGTGTATTGAGAGTATTTATTGAAAATGTTTAGCAAGTATTATACACCACTGGCATGTCTTTATTTTATGATTTAACACAGTTACATAACCTGATGAAAGGAAGAATTTTAAGGTTTCAAAATGCTGTCTTAACAAAATTTGGAAATTTCATGACTTAAAAAATTATAAAAATACTAAATCAAAATATATGTGAATTTCTTAAGCAGAAACTTGATATTATTCTGAAAGTTTGTCCTAAGTTTTATGTAATTTGGTTAAGTGTATCCACTGTGAAAAGAATAAAAATCAAAGGATATTAGTGTCACCACTCTGATTTAGAAAAACTAAAACACACTTCAGTCAAAGTACCAGTTTTGTGTTATTCTCACCAAGGTTTTACATGTAAATACTATAATACTTACTGCTTACTTGTTAGTTACAGTTTACCTGTAAATACTATAATACTTACTGCTTACTTGTTAGTTACAGTTTACCTGTAAATACTATAATACTTACCACTGACTTGTTAGTTACAGTTTTACCTGTAAATACTATAATACTTACTGCTTACTTGTTAGTTACAGTGTTACCTGCAAACACTCCAGTATGTGTTTAAACCCTCCTGGATTATTATCTAGTTACTTAGCAGTTTATGAGGGTTTTTTCTCAGCCTCAGCAGAATCATAATTTGAAACTCAATTATGGTGGTGAAATTTATCACAATAGTTGTAAAAATCACCCTCAAAAGATAAAATTCAAAACTTTATCCAACACTGCATATAGAAAAAGGGCAGCATGGCTTTGCACTTGGGACTCATAGTTGGGTAGTTGTAATTCAGAGGCTTGCTCGCATCGTGCTGTTGTGTCCTGGAGCAAGACATTTTACCCCACTTGTTCCAGTCTACCCAGCTGTCGGCCGAGGGTTAACTGGTGTCCTGTCCAGGGATAGTGGGTAACCATTCTCATCTGCTTGTGCCACTTGAAATCAGAGTTTTAAAGCACCAGCCCTTTATGCCTTGCAAGACACGACAAATATTTTACTTTTAACATATAGGCAAGTAATAAATAAAAAAATGGATGTGTGATTTATTAAACATTTAAATTATATATATATTATTTATGTTCAAGAAAACTTTAAAATTTATAAAATGGTCTTGATCCTTTCTTCACTAAACAGCTGCAACAGATAATTTTTAAACTCATCTACTTTCTTCATTTTACTTGTAGTACTTACCTTTTCAATTTCAAGTTTTTCCAAGACAGGAAGGAATTCTGTTATCAATTTCTTTGCAAGATTTTTTTCTCCTTTTAATTTGCTTTTCTTAAACCTGTTTGCTAAATTTTGCCACTCACTTTGTGTGCAGCAAACCAATGACCAAGAAGTTGATGTGGAAATTTTAGGAGAAACACCGTAACTGTCGAAAACAAAACAAAAAATCAAACTTCTGTAAATAAACTTTTACCTTTAAAAAAATTAGAAATATTTTTTATTCTGAAATAGTTAATTAAATTGTTCACATATAAAAATTTTAGGAATAGGTATTTTAATAGAATACAACAGCTTGACTGAGTTATCTATTTCAACTGTATTTCATGAAAAAACAAAAATAATCTGGATTTACAAAGCTGATTATGTTTTGTAAATTCAAAAATATTTTGATATAATTTATATTATCCAGTTTTAAGTGATAATGTACTGTAAACTGCAGAAGAGAAAAAATTCACAAGAACTCTTAATTATTTTACTGTCATTCTACAAGTATAAACAGATCAATTATTTTACTGTTATTCTACCAAGTATAAACAGATCAATTATTTTACTGTCATTCTACCAAGTATAAACAGATCAATTATTTTACTGTCATTCTACCAAGTATAAAC